CTCCCTATCCTTTTGTGTGGAGGAATGCCCGAGTGAATCACTCGGGCCGGTTTGCTGGTGCGTTTTCAGAGACTAGAACTTCCAAACTGGGTTTATTCTCACACGAACCTTTCTCGCGCTATCTGAGGAACACTATGGTGATCGGCAAATACTCTGTATTAAAACTAATATAACCTGTTACAGAAATTCGAAGTGACGAGGCGCCGCCCCGAATATAATGGAGCGCCATTCTTGTTGCCACTCTGTGACGTACGCTATTTCCCATATGCGCCATAGCGATCGGCAAGCAGCCGCCTCGATTGGTCGGTGAATCCGTTCTTCAAAACCGAAGTACGTCCCAGGTCAACAGAATGGCGCCTCAGAGTAATTCGCCGCTCGCTCACTTCGAATTTTTGTAACAGGCTATATTAGTTTAATAGCAGAGTATTGCGCGCTACCATAGTAAAGTTCGGCGAGTATAGCGGGAAAGGTTTCGTGTTGAGATAAACCCAGTTGTGAAGTTCTAGTCTCTGAAACGCCACCAGCCAACCGCCCGAGTGATTCACTCGGGCATTCCTACCGCACAAAAGGGATAGGGAGGCTTGTACCCTAATCCTCTTGGGTTTGGGATTACATTATTGTATCTGGCATTTTGGCTACGGCGCCTAAGTCCATTGTTGAGAATAAACCCAGTTTGGAAGTTCTAGTCTCTGAAAACGCACCAGCAAACCGGCCCGAGTGATTCACTCGGGCATTCCTCCACACAAAAGGATAGGGAGACTTTGTAACCCTATCCTCTTGGGTTTGGGTTACATTATTGTATCTAGCAAAATGCATGCGCTGCTAATGCGGCCCGTACGCCGCTATTGGCGCGGAAAAAAACTACCGTTTCCTTCTACATGGCTTTACCTATAGTACTGTACTGATATGTGTATACATTCACTTCAATCGTTATTCACTTCTTAAAAGATTGTTTTTCAGAAACCCTGCTTCATTTAACTTTAGTAAATTACGTTCGCCATTTACAAACAATCAGACCAATCAGAGCGAGTCTATCAGGCCTCCTGCAGCGCCACAGATACAAGCGAGAACCAGGGGCTATTGTAAGACTCGCTCTGATTTGTCTGATTGTTTGTAAATGGCGAACGTAATTTACTAAAGTTAAATGAAGCGGGGTTTCTGAAAAACAATCTTTTAAGAAGTGAATAACGATTGAAGTGAATGTATACACATATTAAGAAGTGAATAACGATTGAAGTGAATGTATACACATATCAGTAGCAAGGTAAAGCCATGTAGAAGGGAACGGTAGTTTTTTTTCCCGCCCCAATAGCGGCGTACGGGCCGCATTAGCAGCGCATGCATTTTGCATGCGATCTCACGAAATTTCAATGAACCCCGTTCTGTCCCAATAACCCTCACCAAAATATAAAAAAGGTTATATATGGGACAGAATTATTCGGTCTATAGGCTCGAGCCAAATGGGCTAGATTTGGCTCGGGCCAAATTTGGCTCGGCCCGGTTTGAGTCGGAGCGTTCACACGTACGCAAGTGAATACTGTCTGTCAAATTCAAATTCAAATTCAAATAGATTTTATTGCACAAATATCTCACAGATACTTTGGCAGTATGTTGCGAAATGGCGTTGTTTACGATTTAGAGTGTTTACTTACAGTCCGAGTTTAATTATCAATCTTGAAAACGTGCATCCTGATCAAATTTTTCGAATTTTTATAATGTTTTGGACTTTATTTCGTCGAAGTACACATTCGACACTCGCGGCATCTACCGCTCAACCGATTCTACCACTCTACCGCTCGCCGAAAGCTGGTGCTAAAATTTGGCTCGGGCCTGGTCCGACGTTTTCGATGGGACCAAATCTGGCACGGGCCTAATTAGGCTCCGGCCAAAAACGTCTGTGTGCACGCGCCAATATTAGATGTAGTACCGGTACCTGGGTACGGTCCGGCAGTACCCTGGCGGAGATAGACCCTCTCAGCCTAACTAATGCACGACGGGCCGTTGGGTTCAAGGATAGAGATGGTGTCCAGTACGGTGATTGGATAGGATGATGTTAAGTGATAAGCTAGGACTTCTTCTCTATCCCTGAGCCGGTCGTTGTCGTTTCAGGTGCTACATATAGGCTATATGTACCCGAGATAGTTTTAGGTTGATTAGTATTATGTTTATATTTTTATATGAGGTATGTTTTACTTTAGGGTTAGGGTTAGGGTACACTTCAGTAGGCCTAGTACAAGTCTGGTAGTGGTACACTTTGTGTATATACATATATGTACCTCTGGTACATATATGTAGTACCTGATACGACAACGACCCCTTCAGCCTAACTAATAGTGCGTTTGATTTGCTTCCCCAGAGCCACCTGGGTTAAAATTAACCTGGGTAAGAAATCGAACGCATCTGGGTTAGGTAAGATAAACGAACGGTTTTTGGGTTAACCCGGGGTTAATTATCATCATGGATGCCAGTGACAAGAAAAAAAGAATAGCAATTGCAATCTTATTATTAATGAAATCTAAGAATGAGCAAACACACGCAGTAATCGACAGTCATGCTTCATTACTGCTTGAAGATTGAAGATTTCGTTGCAATGAATTGTGGGATAATTCCCCAAGTGAGCAGCTTGGCTATATAGCGGGTTACTTCGGCCTCACCCGGATAACGCAAAAATACCACGTGACTGCCAAATCGAACATATTTGGGGCTGGCCCGAGTAGACCCGGCCAGGTTAACTTGGGGAAGCAAATCGAACGCACTATAAAGAAACTATACGAAAACGAAAATGAAGAAAAATACGAGGAGATAGGAATTAAGAGTCGAGAAAGAGGGACGAAGGCAAAAACTAATTCTACTCCCCACGCAGATTCCGTGGCTGGTACGATCGTCTCCCCTGCTGACGCAACTCATTTCTAAGTAAATATCCCTCTTTTCGACAACTTAGACTATTCATTAATTCTATTCAAATCTCCTCGTATATTATGCTGATTAATAGTACATAAACGCGTTGATTATCATACTCTATATACAGGGTTCTGCCCAGGATTTTTTAGTGCCGGGCGCATCCATGCAAGCGCCGTAGGCGCGAAGCCAATCTAGGGTGGGGGCCGGGGCAAATTTTTGATTTTGGATAGTCTGAAACTCAATTTCCTGCATTCTGAGCAATAAAAAGCCCATATATCATCATATATTCTTTTTTTTTAATCAAAAATTAGTGCCGGGCGGAGATAACCGACTCGTTTATAGTGCCGGGCACACCCGCCCACCGCCGCCCACCGTGGGCAGAACCCGGTATATATTTTGTTTTCGTTTACATTCCTTGTTTTCCCTAGACCCCCTCCGTATGATCCAAGATGGCTGCGCCCAGGTGTTGATCGTTTTATTTGCGCAGTCTATATTTTATCTTGTCTTTAGTCAATCTATGGTTATTCTATCTATACTGCGAGTTCAAACTATCCATCCTGATTTAGTCTACTGCTCATGTGAGTTACACCCCCCGAAATCTCTACACTAGTAGCATGATTTATGGAGTAACATCAGAGCGCCCTGGTAAGGGCAATTATAAGCTGTTTTGAAGATGTCACATTTATATGGATTCTCTCCAGTGTGATTATTTACGTGTTGAGATTTGAATTGTAGAGAGAGCATTGCACCTCCGAATTTGCATCGTGCAACAGGACAACTACACTACTGACTGAAATTCGTTGACTGCAGAAGTTGGCAGAGGACAACTACAGGATAGAAAACGTGTACCCAGGGCCATGCAGAGTGAGAGGCATATGGTTGGTCCTGAGAATGTGAGATTTCAGTGAAGCTGTGCCTAGATATCATAGTGATACCTACAATAATGTAACCCAGCAGATCGGGGATTCTGTGCCTTTATTTTTGCAGTTATGTTATCGTACATAGGTGGTGCCTAGCCTACCTTTCATTCTACACCTTATATTTACAGAGTGGCTATATGCCCGGCAGCCGGCATATATCTGACGGCTGCCGGGCACGGTCTTCGATTTCCTAAATGCCCAGCAGTTTTTAATTTTCAGCGTTATCTCAAATAAACAAGGGTTACGGCTAGGGGTAGGAACTGCCGGGAATTTATGAAATCGAAGACCGTGCCCGGCTGCCGGGCATATAGCCACAGCGTTATATTTACCCCAAGGAAAAGCATCAGATGTTGGCATACTCATATGACATTGGCATTGTCACTATATATGTACTCTCTTTACTCGGTGTTACATTCCCGAGTGGCTGCTATATACAGGTACATCACCGATTTTCCGGAACCCTTGGTTCCAAGTCCTTTCCGGATCATCCGTTTTTCCGGACCAAAAGAGGTCACATAATAATAATTCAACAATACACTTCTGAGCAACTAAATACCTCCCATCATGTCTCCCATCATCTCTAAAGCACTATGCACTGCTAGAAATGTAAACAAATAATAATTGTAAATTAATGTAAACCACGACTGACACTTGCACCTGCCTTAGACTCCATAGCTAGGGTAAAATTTGAGCAAAACAAGGTGGCGGCCACCCAGTGAATTGAATTTTATCCGTACTCACTGTAACTGTAAGATAATTGCAAAACGTTAAAGTAATATGTTTATTCTTTGTACGCCCAGGAGGTAGACTATACACGCAGTTGTAACTGCGTCTGTGTGATTCAAGTTTATATGAACAATATATTATGTAACAAGTAAGTCGTTGGAATCTTTATTCTAATGTCTTGAGAACACAAGATATATAACACGGACTAAAAGAGGTTCCGGACCATCAGTGTCCGGAAAATCGGTGGTGTACCTGTACTTGTAGTAGGCGCAAATCCACTTTAGGCACCTTAGGTATCACGAAGTGATGTACAGATTTCTTTGTATCATCAACTGATGCGCAGACTTTCCGTATATCAAAGAATGATGCAAAAACCCTAACCCTAACCCTAAGTCATAAAGTATAACCTTAGGTATCACGAAGTGTGTTAGGGTTAGGGTTAGGGGTTTTGCATCATTCCTTGATATACGGAAAGTCTGCATCAGTTGATGATACACAGAAATCTGTGCATCACTTCGTGATACCTAAGGTGCCTAAAGTGGATTTGCACCTTGTAGTATACATACCATATACACACACACAAATGCAAGCTTGCAGCTTGGCATTGAGTGGCAGAGAAACTGATGGCAGGCATTTATGCACTTTTGCAGTCCACTTCTGTGTTCTGCATGAGCACTTTCTTGCCTTTAAATTTTATGCACTATTGCACGGATAAAATAAACAATAATAACGACTTTTCGCAAGTGTTATATAAGCAGTAGTAAGGATTATCATGGTAGATATAGTCATTTTGATAGATGGGTATAGATGGAGTATGATACTATGATAGTAAGGATTATCATGGTAGATATAGTCATTTTGATAGATGGGTATAGCTAGAAAAAAATATAGACATTAAATATTCCATCATGTGCAATCAGATTACAGTTTGCTAATAATTTTCTGCATTGTTAGTACGCGCACAACAGTCAACGTGTCATCGCCCCGTATTTTTGCATTGCGTAAAACGTTTACTTTTGATGTTGCCAGTTGTTACATCTTGCAATACAAGGACAATGATCGTAAATGTATAGGCTGTTTAATTGTTGCCCATGCGTGTAACTATAGAAGCATGACTTTGTATGTTCATTCTGGGTGTGTGCTGCATGGTTGTATACACTCTGTAAATATAATCTAGGTACGTGTAAAGGTGGTGACACATGGTTGACTCCAGAGCTGTATTATACCAGAGGACAAAGTGTGAGTGGAAAAGTACATATTGTTAGAAGATGGAGCACCCCATAGAGGAGACAGGTATGCAAAGTAAAGATGAGCTAGGCTTGAATGGCATAATGGCCATCATTTGGCGTTATGGTTTAAAAATTACCACACAGGTGACAGCATATTCGAATTGGCATGTGTTCGATCATGCCTGCGTTACATCAAATACTCAGTAGAGAATAAACCAATAATTTATCTATGTAGTCTCTTACTAATAGTAATACTGTATGTGAGTGTACTATTTATAATGTCACTATAACGTATGCGCTTGAAGCTAATTGCACAATGCATGTCTGTTATGAGTCCTGTTATTACTCCTGTTTATTTATTATCGATAGGTGCATATCGATTGCTGAGTTGTTTGTACAACGTGAAAACTATCGAGCAATACTTGGTTTCCATTGATCCAACACTGACAAAAGAATACCTTCAGAGTGAGGTGTCTAATCATGAGTAAGTCATATTATCCAAGCGGACAAAAGAAATTTAACGACTAAAACTAAATAGTTGCAGCTGCATAGGTTTGCTCAACCATGGTTTGCTGCAGATTGGAAGTGGCTGAATGTATGGGTCAGTTTTAGTTCAGTTGATAGCGCCATTGAGTTCGAGCTGATCTTTAATCTTCGTTAAGAGCATCTTCGTTAATCTTTTTTCTCCCTTGAACAAGACACAGTTGTGATTTTCTTTAGTTGACATCTGCTGTAAAATTGGGTTTATTTTATTGGCGCAAGGCTTGCAACCTTACTACACCAGCATAACAGCAACTAGCTTTGCTGGATAAACCCTGGTAAAGGAAGAAGATGCTTGTCTAATCCACACTGTTGGTTATTGCTAGAATAACAGAGAGCTTAATTGTATCATTTAGCAATGTATATAACATTATTGCCAAATTCATCACACAGTACCTTACAAACCAGCCTCCTAAATGTTGTTTCTCAACAGCCCAATCAAAAATTCAGTCTTGAGTTTGCATGCTGTCAGATGACAGTAATATTAGCAAACAAATGTGTATTCTGGGTCCATTCAAAAATTACGTAACACTAACACTGGAGGGGGATATATGGCCTGGTGTTACGGGGGAGTAGGGGGTGTATGTTCAAGTGTTACATAACACACCACAATTTTCTTAGTTTAATATTAATTTTAATACTTTATTTGTAAAATTAAGAATACATTCAATGTCAGAATTTTTCTTTTTATCAAACAGAAAAGATAATATCCTACATCAAAATCAACATCCATTCAGGCCACAAAGGTTAGCTGCTAAAGTTAAAAGTGAGCAAACAGTGACTCAGGCATCATGATCTTCTTCCCAGACTTGTTGTCTGTTTTCCAGTGTCCCAGTCCATACTTTCAGTATTTTTAGCTCATCTGACATAGTCAGATGCAGCTTGTAGAATCGCTTGATCGTCCGTGCGTCCGTGCGTCCGTCCGTCCGTCCGGGCGTCAACAGTTGGGCACAAATCTTAACCGCTCGACGTACGGTCACGATATTCGGGATGTGGGGGGGTAATCCGAAAACGAGTTGGGATGTCGAAGCTGGGGGTGAAAGGTCAAAGGTCAAGAGGTGTAAAAGAAGGGGGAACATTCACTTCACTCCCTTAACTTAAGGTATAGGGAGGAAATGCAGAATTGCGCACAAATCTAAACGGCTCAACCTAAGCTCGTGATAGTCGGTGTATAGCATCATGGTAGGAAAAGCGATCACTGTGCCGAAAATTGGAGGTCACAGGTCAAAGGTCAATAGGCACAGGGCAGATTTTAGACATTTTCTGAGGACATGGTGCTGACGGAGCGATTGAAAAACTTTTTTGTTTCAGCGGTGACCTAGCATTTTTATGCTTTATTGAAAGGACCATGAAATGTCCCTTTTTGCTGACATGCGAAGAGTAAGCTGTCGGATAACCTTTTGACCCTCAAGAGGAGGGTTAAACTTGGATTTGTTGACTGTCTGTTAGAAAGAATTTGACTGA